CTCTGTACTGAATTTAAACATCTTTGTCTTCATCCTGCCCAAGGTTAAGAATAACTAACTACATGTGTATGTTATTTTCTAATTTCTAATTACTGTATTTTTCCGTGTATAAGAACACCCCCCCCGCACTCCCCTCGTGCCACCCCCACGGCAAAGCGCCACTTTCAGAGGTGCATTTTCATTGCTGAAAAAGCCCCAGGAGGCTTCCAAAAGCAGCGCGGGGGGGTGGCAGGCCTGCCCCTACCACACCCCCACCCACCCCCACCATGGCAAAGTGCAGCTTTCAGAGGCTTTGGCAGTGCATTTACACTGCCTATTTAGCTGCTAGGGAAGCTTCAAAGAGCACCACGGATCAGCTGTAAGGCAGGGAGGGGGAGGGGCTGGAGCAGGAACAATGGCAAAATGGCCACCCGCTGTTTTCTGGAGGGATTCCTCGCTTACCGAGGCGGCGAAAGGGCCACCCCTATGGAGGATCTTCACTGAACGGTGAGTTTTTGCCCCATAGGAACGCATTAAACAGGGTTTAATGCGTTCTTATGGGTTTTTTTGTTCCGTTTAGCAATGTTTCCGGATAGCGACATTAATCCTGGAACGGATTAACGTCGCTATGCGGGGCACCACTGTACATAGTCACTGCAGCTAGAATTCTTTATGCCAGAAATTGGAAAAGTCCGACAGTACCGAAAGAAGATCTTATAGAGAAGATACGGTAAATAGCAGAAATAGACATTTTATCAGAAGTGATGAAGGATTGTCCTCTACAAAAGGCAACTGAAAGATGGGACTTATTCTACAAATGGATAAAGTCAATAGACAACATATGAAGAGCATACATGCAAATGAGAACTTAAATCGGGAAGGCAGAAAATAGTAAAAAGAGTAATTTGAAATTTTGATATGGCAATATGTATAGAATGGATGTTAGTATGATATTGTTTCTCCTCTTCCCTCGGAACCTCAATTCCCTTCTTCCTTTTTGTCACCCCTCGTTAAAAATAAAAATAAAAAAAAATTCTCTGCCCCCTGCCTCAGCAGCCAGGCATGCCAACCCACTGTGCTATACCAGCTGGGTATAAATTGTCTTATTTTGGCAAACCTCTTAGAGTTGCCTTCTATCCTATTTGGCCACACGGGTGTGCAACGTGAAGCGATATTTGGACATGTCTGCAGATCTTTGGCTGCTGACTGAGTTTTGTAAGTGGACAAAAAGTGATGCCACATCACTTTCTCCTGCCATAATTATTGTCCAGGGTGGCAGTCTCATTTTACAAGACCACTAAGTCTCTCCCAGCCGTCAGCCTCTTGCTTCTCAATTGGCACCCACAGTGTACAGTCATCTTTCAGGAATGCACTGCCTGTCATGTCCCATTGCTTAAATAATCAACAGTTCAGCCGAATACCGTGGCAGAGCTGGCCACCTTAACGCTGTCAAAACAACAGTGTGTGCAAATAAAAAGGAGCGCAACTGCTTTTCTGCTCCTGCAGCTGTGAATATCAGCTACTGCAGTGTGGCACTAAATCTTGTTTAAGCTACAGTCATTCCACTTGGTGATGAATGTTGCTACCTGAATCTAATTTAGGTAATTTCCTGCAACAAGAGTAGACCAGTGGTGAAACGGAATGCTAATTTACTTGTAATTTAGTATACTAACCTGTAATTAGCACCTCTGAAATGTCGGGTCGTGTAATGTTTTAGATATTTTTGACAAATTTTTAGAACTTGCCACAGTTTCCATCAGAAGTGGCACATTGAAGAGGCAGTAACTGTATTTTGGAAGGGTGCTGTTCTTGAGGTTAACAGTGGAAACTTTTCCCCTTTGTTATTTTGCTTAGCCAGACAGGGCAACAAAGATGATTGGGAATGAAGAGGACATTTCTGACATCTCCCGTCGTGCAACTGTGAGTCCCCCAGCCATGATGTTGGATGATAGAATCGACTTTGAAAGGGGCTATTAGTCCATCAAGTCCCATCCCCTGTTCAATGCTATCATATCCAAAAAGGAGAGAAGGGTCCAAATTAATTCCAAACCACCAACAAAATTCATGACCTCTTCATATGTTCTAGGTCGGCCAAGCCACTCACAATTTGTCATGAACTACCAGGGTCATTCTTCTCTTTTGGTGCTCCAGTCTCGGAAGTGGCTCTGCCCTTCCCTGCCTCCTCCAGCAGCTGACCACTCTGATGAAGCACGACAAGGATTCTCCCCACTAAACTAATGATTGGTTGACTGCAAGGAAGGGCCAGCAGAGCTCCATTCTGGATTGGCACACCACTGGAGAAGAAGGAGCCCAGCAGTGCATGGTGAGACATGACTGGCCCAGCTGGCCTGTGGGGTGTGGGAGAGATTATGTGCTGCATCTCTAATTCTGTGCAAATGAATTTCGTCGGATGGGGCCCAAATTAATTCAGGCCCATCTTTAGGAAAGAGTTCTATTATGTCTCTTCTCTGAGGCTTCTTTTCTGAAAGCTAAATATGCCCGATGCTTTCAGTCTTTCTCTGTTGGCTTTCAGTTTTCAAGATGTTTGCAGAATGTCTGCTTTGTAATCCCCTCCATATATGGATGTCAAGCTGACAGGTCTGCAGTTCCCTGGCTCCCCTTTTTGAACATAGGACTCCTCTTTCTTCTCTTTGTTTTTCTCTCCATCAGGTGAATAAGAGGACAAGTGGAATTCTGTGGAGGCAGTCGTTCTTTCAGTGTGGAAAAAAATTACTGTGAAGGACAAAAAAATTGACACACTTAAAAGGCAGAAAAGGAAAGAACGGAAGGCAGAGAACAAGAGGGGAAAAGAAATCTCCAGCTCTTCCTACTGATGTTGATGCACTTCTGATCATCTGAAAAAATCAACAGGGAAAAGGAAGGAGAAAAGGTTCCCTGGGCAGATAAACATTCAGGGGTGCCTCAGATGACAATAGACTTGACAAAGTGCACCCAGATGAGAAACAAATTCAATGCATTAAACAAGGAAAGAGCATCACAATGCACAGTGATTATACTTCACGTGAAACATCCCTGAGAGGTGAGAGAGAGTATAAATGCCTACAGTGTGGAAAGAGCTTCAGTGAGACCAGTAGGCTTGTTTCTCATCAAAGGACTCACACTGGGGAGAAACCATATAAATGCATGGAATGTGGAAAGAGCTTCGGTCACGTCAGTTCCCTGAGTAGACATGAAAGAACTCACACTGGGGAGAAATCATATAAATGCATGGAATGTGGAAAGAGCTTCCGTAAGAACACTCACATGAGTTCACATCAAAGAACTCACACTGGGGAGAAACCATATAAATGCATGGAATGTGGAAAAAGCTTCGCTCACAGCAAGAGTCTCAGTTCCCATCGAAGAACTCACACTGGGGAGAAACCATATAAATGTATGGCATGTGGAATGAGCTTCAGTCGCAGCAGTGCCCTGAGTTCACATCAAGGAACACACACTGGGGAAAAACCATATAAATGCATGGAATGTGGAAAGAGCTTCAGGCAGAATGGTGGCCTGAGTACACATCAAAGAACTCACACTGGAGTGAAACCATATAAATGCATAGAATGTGGAAAGAGCTTCAGTCAGAGCAGTCACCTGAGTAACCATCAGAGAATTCATACTGGGGAGAAACCATATAAATGTGTGGATTGTGGAAGCAGCTTCATTAATAGCACTCTCCTGAGTTCACATCAAAGAATTCACACTGGAGAGAAACCATACAAATGCATGGAATGTGGACAGAGTTTCAATCACAACGGTTCCCTGAGTTCACATAAAAGAACTCACACTGGAGAGAAACCATATAAATGCATGGAATGTGGAAAGAGCTTCAATCAGAAGAATAACCTGACTACCCATCAAAGAACTCACACTGGGGAGCAACCTTATAAATGCATAGAATGTGGAAAGGGCTTCAATCAGAAGAGTTCCCTGAGTTCCCATCAAAGAACTCACACTGGGGAGAAACCATATAAATGCTTGGAATGTGGGAAGTGTTTCAGTCAGAACAGTTCCCTGAGTTCTCATCAAAGAACTCACACAGGGGAAAAACCATATAACTGCATGGAATGTGGAAAGAGCTTCAGTCACAACAAGAGTCTGAGTTCCCATCAAAGAACTCACACTGGGGAGAAACCATATAAATGCTTGGAATGTGGGAAGTGTTTCAGTCAGAACAGTTCCCTGAGTTCTCATCAAAGAACTCACACTGGGGAGAAACCATATAAATGCTTGGAATGTGGGAAGTGTTTCAGTCAGAACAGTTCCCTGAGTTCTCATCAAAGAACTCACACTGGGGAGAAACCATATAAATGCTTGGAATGTGGGAAGTGTTTCAGTCAGAACAGTTCCCTGAGTTCTCATCAAAGAACTCACACTGGGGAGAAACCATATAAATGCTTGGAATGTGGGAAGTGTTTCAGTCAGAACAGTTCCCTGAGTTCTCATCAAAGAACTCACACAGGGGAAAAACCATATAACTGCATGGAATGTGGAAAGAGCTTCAGTCACAACAAGAGTCTGAGTTCCCATCAAAGAACTCACACTGGGGAGAAACCATATAAATGCTTGGAATGTGGGAAGTGTTTCAGTCAGAACAGTTCCCTGAGTTCTCATCAAAGAACTCACACTGGGGAGAAACCATATAAATGCTTGGAATGTGGGAAGTGTTTCAGTCAGAACAGTTCCCTGAGTTCTCATCAAAGAACTCACACTGGGGAGAAACCATATAAATGCTTGGAATGTGGGAAGTGTTTCAGTCAGAACAGTTCCCTGAGTTCTCATCAAAGAACTCACACTGGGGAGAAACCATATAAATGCATGGAATGTGGAAAGAGCTTCAATCACACAGGCTTCAAACCAGTCTGCCATCTTCTTGCCAAATGTGGACAAGGCGGTGTTATAAACAGAATTCTTGAAATGTTCCCATCATTCAGGTGAATAGCATCAGCTCGGCCTGGAAGAGTTTCCTCAAGCTCTTGGGCAAATTCTTCCACTTTTCTTTGATCAGGGTGGAGAAAGGCCCCACTAACAGCTAATTGTCCATGTTAAATACCAAGAAAATATCCTGGAAAAAGCTCACAAAGATTTATTTGGAGCACACATGGGTGTCTCTTGCACTAAGCAAAGGGTTGCACAGAATTTTTATTGGCCAGGGATGGGGAAGCAAATTAATCAATACTGGCAAACCTGTGATACTTGCTAGAAGCAAGGTACTGGATGTCACAACCCAGCCTCCGTAAGGAATGCTTGATTAGTTGAATAGAGAGCTCCAGGTGTCTGGGTCCTCCTTATCAGCTTGAGCAGAGTCTGAATGACCCCAGCTAGGACGTACTGCAGACCCCTTCCAGAAGTCTGTTCTATATATATATAAAAAACACTTTTTTGCACTATAAAATCCTTTTTGGTTTCTTGAACAGCAACGTCTGATGCTACAGTCATTTAGATGTAGTCATTTAGAATGACCAAAGCTCAATGAAATGGACTCTCTAGCCATATGTGGCCTGGCCTCCCCTGCTGGGAAAAGGCTGCATCAGACGTTGCTGTTCAAGAAACCAAAAAGGATGTTATAATTAATCTTTTTAATTGAAAAAAGTATACAGATTTACAGAATATGCAAAAGCATCGCAATAAGACATTTCCAAGGATTATTACAGTTACAATCCAGGCATTTAATTCCCTTTTGGTTACAAATCTCTAAAAATCTCTAATAGCTTCCCTCAGTGTAGGTAAAAGGCACAAAGCCCCCCTTTCTTAGCGTTCGTCAAGTCTCTACATCCCCAAGTCCTCCGTTAGCACAAGGCATCAGGAAAAAGACCTAGAAAAATCTTTGGTTCCTCAAAAAGAAGGGAAGGAACAAGGAGGATCCTCTGCACATGGCAAGAGTTCATTTTTGTATATGCTAAACTCCTCCTGTCTTCTTTGTCTCTCACGATGTCATCCAATCACGGCACAAGATGGTTGATGAATTCCCCTCCTCTTCTTCTCACGAGAGCGCAGGTGTTGTTGCTCTGCTTCCGACTCTCCTTAGTCAAAACAAGTGTCTGGTCTTCTTATCTGGTCTTAACTGCACAGCCTAGAAGAAAACATCCTCACAGTCCTACTCAACAACATTCCCATCATGCAAAACCATTCTTACACAGAACCAATTTGATTCCATTTTACAATCCATAGGACTACATAATCCATCTTTATTACATGATTTAAACCACTTATTCATGATCATGACACACCCTGGGAATTCCAAAAATTAGAAACTGTAGCGTTTCCGTTTTTGGTCTAAAATAATAACACATTTAAGCATGTTGGGTTACATAGTTCAGCTTAGTAACTAAATTGCATTATGTTAAAATACACTACATCATTAAAATCATTACATTACAATTATGCATATCATTTAGCAAAGCACTGAGGTAGGGAAACATTCTAACAGCAGCATTTGAATACAAAACATTTAGTTAGGCATCTTCACTAATATGGGGAAAATAGAAAAAAAACAATTAGTATTGTAGAAACATCAGTCACTTAACTGATAATACTGGCAATACATCTGATTATATCATCAGGAAAAAACTTAAAATGCACTCAGTTACATCAATAATGATCTATAATCATTATACCATGAAAGCAGTATACCAACACAAAAATCATTATGTTAAAACACTCTTAATCAGTAAGATAGAATAAAACACTCTGTGTATGTCAAGGACTTTCAAATAAATAGTTCGAGGGAAACATTAATAAATCAGAAATCCATCATTTTAACTATCTGTCACTTCTGAATCTCCACAATACATTCTGGAAAGGCTGTCAGCATGACTGTCTTCCCTTAGGCAATTGTTGAAGGACAAAATCATATTCTTGCAACATATTGTACCAGCGTAACAATTTCTGGTCATGAGACTTCATTCTGTTCAACCAAGACAATGCACATGTATGTGTCTGCAAGGTAAATTTATTTGCTTCCAGGTAAGGTTCAAAAAGACGTGTGGTCCATAAAACTGCATAGGCTGCTTTTTCATGTTTACAGTAGTTTTTCTCATGAGGCTTCAGTTCACTGATGCCATAAGCCACTGGATGAGATATCCCATCATCCCCCTTCTGTAACAAAACAGCACAAAGCCCCACTCCTGAAAAATTTGTTTGCAGAACAAAAGGCATATCAATATCAGGTAGTTTCATCACTGGTTCATCTAGGAGTCTACGTTTCAAGACAACAAAAACATCTTGACATTCCTGTGTCCAATTTATCATGACAGTTTTCTGTCTCTTTAGAAGCTTTTTGATTGGCAAAACCATTTCACTATAATCATAAACGAGTTCCTTGAAATGATCAATCAATCTGAGAAAAATTAGGACCTGATCTCTTATAATAGGAACAGGCCAATTTTTTATGGGTGCAACTCGAACATCTGAGGGTTGATTATCCTCTTGACCAATCCAGTGTCTCAAATACAAAACTCTTCCTTTGATCCACTGACACTGTTCACCTTTGACTTTCAAACTAACATTGTACAATTGCCACAATACAAATTCAACATGTTCATGTGGTGCACAAAATTATGACTAGTAATCACAATATCTGTCAAATAAGCATATGCAAAAGGAAATGCCTGTAGAATTTCTTCAGCAACTTTCTGAACAGTTAGGCTTGCATTTTTTAAATCAGGTGGAATTTTTTTTTTGAAACGATAAGTTCCAACGTGGCTGACAAAAGTAGTTTTGTCTCTCGAATCCTCATCTATCATTATATGGAATAAACCAGCTTGGACTTTCAAGACTGTTACAAATTCAGCTTTAGCAATTATTTCTGTTATAAATTCCACACTTGACAAGGAATAACAATATGATTTTGTGATCTGGTTCAACTGACCGAAATCTGCTTCAAAAACATAATGAGATGACTTTTCTCTGGGCACAATAATCAGAGGATTACTCCGTACAGATTGGCTAGACTCAATGATGTCCATTTTCATCATCTTTTGAATAGCAATTTCAATACATTTCAGGTTAGTCCGTTCAGTAAATTCAGGACTGCAAGTTACAGGTGCATGGTTACCTGTGTCAATTATATGTTTCACTACATTTCATGTACTGGGCTCATAACTGGACAGGGACATCTTCTCATGAGAACGCAGGTGTTGTTGCTCTGCTTCAGACTCTCCTTAGTCAAAACAAGTGTCTGGTCTTCTTATCTGGTCTTAACTGCACAGCCTAGAAGAAAACATCCTCACAGTCCTACTCAACAACATTCCCATCATGCAAAACCATTCTTACACAGAACCAATTTGATTCCATTTTACAATCCATAGGACTACATAATCCATCTTTATTACATGATTTAAACCACTTATTTATGATCATGACACTGGAAATGACAAAGCTAGAGCTAAACTATGCCCATTGCCTGTTATCTCAAACCCCTTTCCAATGTTTAGGTCTGGACCTGGTGGGACCCCTACCCAGGGTGACCAGACGGGGAAATAAATATTTTATCCATTATTGATTTTGCCACCAGATACCCAGAAGCATTTCCTCTAAGAAACATAGACACAGAAACTGTGGTGGATGCATTAATTAGTTATATATGTGTGACGATTGCCCAAGTCACTCATGAGCTGATTTGCATGATCCTATGAGGGGACTGGAGAGGCAGAATCAGCAGCTACATGAGGTTTGGTGGGAGAAGGAGGAGTCAGATAGGGCTGGTTAGACAGAGAGAGGGAACAGATGCCGACAGATAAAGCTGGTTAAGAAATTAGGTAGAGAAGGTGGTGATGGTATAGCAAGAGAAAAGAAGTATGTACTGAGAGAACTGTTGATGATTTTCTTGTGTATAATGTTCATCTGAGAAACTTCTGTTATTATTCAGTCTGCTTCACTTCAATAAATAAGTTCTGTTTCTGTTCACAAGTCAAGTGTTCAGACAAACGTCACTTGCCTTATGGATTGAGGTAATCCACTAGTGGCAGTGAGAGGAAAATGTGACTTGAGCCTTTGTGAGGGAAAGACAAGCAGGGGCCACAAGGGTGAATGCCACAATTGGTGTCCAGCAGCAGGATACAAAATAATCCACTAAAGCAAATGTTTAAGAGTGAATTTTCTGGAGTTGCGGGTACCTTTTAGTTAGAGGTCTATGGTGAAGAAATGGGTGACCTGCTAGAGCTTACTGAACATGGATCTGGGGGAACTAAAGATAGGGAACCGACTCTAAAGGGAAAATAATTTTTTATTTCCTCAGGATTTGAGAGACCCAGTGGGCTAGCTTGAAATCCAAGCCTCTGAGAGATAAGGGAGCATTGATGGATAAAAAGTGGAAGCCAGGGTCAGAGCAGATGAGAAGAGATAGGAAAATAAAAAGCAGAGGCTTGAAAATAGAATTTCCTTTGTGTCTGGAGGCAAGGAGGTTGTCTCAGACCAAGAAACGTTGTGTCTTTTGTGTGAAGCCAGAGAAAGTGTAGCCATCTTTAGCTGCCGATTGAGAACTGCATAGTACCCTAGAAAAATACTGGGAAAAGAAAACAGCACTAAAAGTGTTTTTTTAAAAAAGACCTGACTAAGTCAGCAATAGAAATCAATCCCTTTTATCAAGAAAGTACATACTTAGGCCACCCAAAAGAACGAAAAAGCCAGTAATGGAGGAAATTGATTCTCAAGAGGTTGAGGGAATGGGAATAAAATTGGAAACCCTCAAATTCAGAGTGAGGAAGAACCTGAGGGACCTCTATCGATTGCCTCAGAGAATGTGTCCTAAGCTCCCAAGATTTTGAAAAATGGAACAGGAATTCAGGCTTAAAGAATTGGAGATCAGAGAGAAATCTAAGGAACTAGAAATTAAAGCTATAGCTGAAGAGAAAGCTCAGGTATGGCTCAAGGAATTAGAGATAATGGAGAAAGATAAGGCCAGACAAAAAGAAATAGATTTTGAAATGGAGAAAGAGCCAGAGAAAAGGGGAGGGCTAAGGCCAGACAAATGGAATTAAGACAAAGAGAAATTGAATGTCAAATACAGATGAAACAATTAGAAGCTGCTCAAAAATGACAATAACAACAACAACAACAACTCTAGTGAGGAAAATCTCTAAAAAATCAACCTAAAGAAATTTCCCCAATATAGGAAAGGAAAGTGCCCTGAATTTTTCCTGATTTCATTTTACAGAGCATGCTGGGACTTTGAGATTAAGGATGATGAAAGGATGCGATGTTCGCCCTCATTGCCCCTGCTTGTTTCCCCAAACACAGAGCTCACAAGGTACCTCAGCACGCCCTCTGATACGCTGCCACCAATTGATCTACTTTATCAACCTAGTTTACTTAGAAAAGACGAAGGTCCATCCAGTACTGATGTTT